CCTACACAATAGCCAATACGTAAGTGACTCAGAATGCAGAGATTTTTATCCCTAAAGACTTTATCCTGATCTGTTGTTGCTCGAGTGGTTTCGAGGCATCTCACAAAAGTTTGTTTACCTACTGACTTTTTTTACAAATTAAGGCTAGAGAGATATTTATTATATTTACATATATATTTTATAGAGCTTAAAGATGGTGCTGCTTGCCACTGAAATTTCATAGCAGTGAGCATATTCTGTCTATTCAATGTTCAAATAAACAATTATTATCCAAAGTTATCATTCCTCAGCTGCTTATTAGGACAATCACAACACAAAGATCCATTCTGATGGGTTCAGTCCTGAGGAATGTTTACTTTTAATTCTTCCTTAGGAAACATTGTGTTATAGTTAGTTAAAAGTGACTTCGTTTCGTCATTATAGGGAAGGGATTTATATGAAAAATTTCATCAAGTGCTCATAGTCTTTCTTCTCTCTTTCTTTATCCTTTCTCTTGACAAGAGAAACTTCACTTATAAGTCACATGACTACTTTAAAGCTTTGTAAACAGATGATGCATGCCTTATTAGATTCTGAAGTTCAGAAGAATGTCTCTACAGCCCTGAGATGCACACACACTTGAGTTTTCAATAAAGTAAAGGTGCAATGAGATCTCACTAATTTAATCGTTTGTCGGAACATTGTCCAAGAATGGGGTCATGCAAGGAGAATTCTGAGTGCTTGTGAGAAAACTCTGAGAAAAGAAGACAAGAGTCTTGTGACCTCAGTTTCTTCAAAACATGGAATTGTTCTTGGAATGCGTTTTTGTGCTCCTCCCAGGTGTAGCAGATAGAAATGATTTACTACGGATTACTCATTATTGCTTGTTGTTATTCACTTATGCATCTATGGAAAACCATGTTTTTGCTGTGTGGGACTTATCTTTGTGACTGTATATTCACACGAACCTTCTTAATTCTCAAAGTATATAAATTACCTAATACTCTGAATAAAGTGGGCTATATGCATCTCATTTATTTACTCTATTATTCACTTCCTTTCTCCATGTACAACCAAATGACGCTCGTTTTCTGATATCTCATAGGTTTGGCCCAGTTGAGCATGAATGAATAATACCATTATGAGAAAATAATCTTTTCATCTGTGACAATGGCAATTGTCAGATCATTTGTCATCTGTGAGCCACAAAGCTCTGAAATCCATATCCTATACTTTCAACTTATCGGGGACGGTATAGGGTAAAAACATATTGTGAACTGGAAGTAAATAAAGAGCTTATCTTAAGGAAATGGGATCTCAGACTTGTAGTTCATATGTCTTCCATCGTGGCTGTGCTGCTTTGAGTGAGATTTCCTAATCTCCATGTGTGTCCAGATTCTCTATCTGTGATTAAGGACAGCACCATTCCGGATTATTGCAAATGCTGCAGGGGCAAAGAGAATTTTGAACATAGCTGATGGAATGTAAATTAGTTCAATCCCTATGGAAATCAGTGTGCAGATCCCTCAAGAAACCAAAATCAATCTACTATAGAACTCATATTTTGGTATAAACTGCCAGCTACATACCAAAAGGACTCAAGTCAGTGGATCACAGAGGTATTTGCACACCTGTATATTTATTTACATCCATAGAGATGGCTTATGGATCCAAGAATATGTGAATGAATAAAGAAAACTATCTGTGTACATAATGGGATTTTAGTAAGACATAAAGTAGAATGAAATTAAATCATATATACAAGAATGCATGTTACTAGAGATCATGCTAAGTGAAATAATCTGGTAACAAGATTAAGAAAAAGTTATATATGTTTTCACTAATTTGTGTACCCTAGATTTGTACAGATAATATAATATGATATATATATAATAAAAATAAAATATAAATAAGATATAATATGATTAACATAATGAAAATGGAAGAGAAATGAATAATAAAGGGGACATGAGGAGGGAGAGATGGAGAGTTTGTGGGTGGGTGAATATAACCAATGTTCATGAGATACCTGTATTAAAATATCTTTAAAAATCTATTATTATATATAGTGAATATTTGCCATCTCAAAGTAAAAACGCGATAAGGGCTTAAACTAACACATGTGAAAAACTTAGCATAGTAGATAGTCTGAACTGTCTTCAATATATAATCAATAATCATTATTTTTATGCCCATGACACTTATAAAACAGATTTAAATATTCAAACATCTTCATAAATATATTTGGTTGTGTTACGTGTTGTGAAAGAAAACCTTTATACTGCGAAGGTTTGAGTTATCATGCGTTCTGAATTAGCTGTATCTAAGTCAAAAGTTCATATTATTTGGTGATAAAGCAAAATTCCCTCTAGCACACAGTTAAGTAAACAACTTACGATTAAGGCAATAGAAACCAGCATATCAGAAAAGAGTGGTTTAGAAACCACTAACAGTCTTGCCTAATTAAACTCAAGAGTTGTCTCCTCTTATTTTCTTGTCCTCTGAACATTGTCAGTCGAGGCAATTCTATCCCTACAAGCCTGTAGTTTATGTTGTTACTTATTTGAAACAATATCGTGTGCCTTAGGCTGGTCTCAAACTCTCTATGTAGCTGAGGACGATCTTGAACTTCTGACTCTCCTGCTTCTTCTTCCCAAATGGCTATATCTTATAGGCATGTACAATGATGCCCAGCTACAAGACTGTTTCAAAGGAGTCCTTCAAATCAACCTTTAATCTGGATTGTTTTACACACGCTACATGTCATGTGTCTGACCACGCATTTTTCTTTCTCTTTAGGATGGTAGTAAGTATCAAACAGCCCCTGTGAATCTGGAACTTCAGTATTCCCTTGAAATCTTTTACTCCTCATCTTTTTCTATTTCAGTGAAGTGTATGTAGATCAATCATCTTAACTCACAGTCTTGAAAGCCATCCTGAGCCTGCTGTCCTTTATGGGTATATTGAGTCCATCATCAACTCTTGCAACACGAGCTCTATGGCCGCTCATCATTCTGCCTGCTGTCTTTTCCTACCACTCTCGCCTCAGTTCATGTGAGCTTCTCTCATCCAGAATCAAACAATCATGTCTTACTAAGTCCTCCCAGTTCCACTCTTGGCTCTCCCAAGCTGCCAGCTTTCCATGCAGTACCAGAGTGTTCTTTTACCCAAAATCCTTTGGAACATCCCCCATTCCAAGTTTCTAATCATTTGACACCCAAATCAGAATACAGTCCCTATTTCTTTTCTTGGCCTCAGGGTTTCATGTGGGCTGGCTCCAGATTAGTAGATTCTAAACATGAGCATCTTTCCTCAGTTTTCCAATAAATTGGGGCCAAGTTCCTTCTTGACTTTTAGCTTTTTCCACAGCTTTAATCCTGAGCTTTCATTATTTTGAAATACATTTTCATAGCATTTCTGACTACTCAGTCTGAATATATATGTTCCCATTGCTCTCCTTCTCAGACCTTTCTTCTATACTTTGTGCTTGTGTGGGTTGAACTACACAAGACTTTCCTGGTTTGCTAGGGATTATGGTATTATTACTTGATATTAAGCTCCACAAAACATATGTTTTTCTGTTCAGAAATTATAGTCAAAATGCTACAGAACCTATGTATGAATTTATTGTCTCTAAAAAATGAGAGTTTTAAAATGAGGAACTGGAAAGATGTATCTCACAAGAAAAATGTACTGAAATATGCAAATAATTCTTAAAACCCAACAATGAGATATTTCTCCCTGCCCCCACCCCATGAACCTCTTTATAGTTTCCTGGATTAATTTGTGCAGTGGAAGGTGTTTAATTCAGAAACTCACAACTGTCAAAACGGTAGAGTGTAAGAATTCTGTGGAGTGCTCAGCCACAAATGAGACATCTATATACCCTATCTCCTCCCTACAAGGCTAGGGGAGGGTCACAAAAGAGGGGACAGAGAGATTGTAAGAACCAGAGGGCAGACAGGACCAGAGCCAAACAACAGTATCTTCTGAATATGGCAGGACCCCTGTACTCATGACTTCATAGCACCTGCTTTGTCTGGCAAGACCTGAACAAGATCAATCCAGCCAATGTTGCCTTGGAGGTGGGGAGGGCTCATGAGTCCCCAAAATCTAATTGAGGAGCTATGGACAGTAGAAGGCTTCTGAGGGAGGAAATTAGTTTTCCTTAAGGGTGTGATTCTTTGTAAGTTGACTGCATTCTAGTGGATGGCCCCATACACGTGTGTGTGTGTGTGTGTGTGTGTGTGTGTGTGTGTGTGTGTGTGTGATGGTTCACTGGAGAGAAAGCTTAAGTGCATTATGCTAAGTGAAATAAGTTAATCTTGGAAGAATCCATTTACATATCTTGTTATTCTAACAAAAGCAAAATTATGGGGACTATAAAACAATTGATGAGGTTATTTCCAGGGTTTCAGAGGGTAGAAGGGTTGATGAGACACAGAATAGAGGATTTTTATGACAAGAAGATATGCTCTCTCTATATGATACTGAAATAGTAGATAAAGGCCATTTTATAGTATGCCAAACTATAGACTTTGACTGATAATGTTGTGTCAGTACAGCTTTGGTAATTACCATGTATATTCCATTCTGATAGGAGTGTTAGTAACAGGGGTAAGGGGAAATCTCTCCTGTCTCTCATCCTCTTTGTATAGAAATTATGTAGAAAATACATATTGTATACTCAATTTTGTTGTAAACCTAAAACTGCTTGAAAAATAAAATGAAAACCAAGGCTGTGTGCAGTGTGGCGATTAAAACACGTACTTAACTTACTGATCACCTTGGGTTAAGTAACAAAAACAAAACCATTAATCATTAATTGTGGTCTTAAAAAAACTGAATCAACAGATAGGAATCTTGTATTCTTAATTTTAAATAATTACTTATGATTATGACTTAGATGCAGTCAAGATTTCTGCAAGGTTCCACAGTTATTATTTTCCACAAAATTAAGAACAAGAATATTTGATTCACATGGAGATTTCACACATTAACGTTTCTTTGTTTTCTTTTAGGGAATAAGTAAACAGATGATGATGGAGAACCCATTCTAAATTTTATATTTTGAGGCACTTACTGCATTGTGGTGAGTTGGATAGAAAGCAATAAAATTGAATCATCTATTGTTTTCATGAATATGAGCACCGATAATGGAATGAATGAATGAGTCAATAGATTTTTGTGGTGGTTGTTGTCTTCATTCATCTTCCCTCCATGACTTTGAACAACAACAACAGTGCTACACACGCACACTTCTCCCTTATTAAATACAATGTTCACCCTTAATGATTTTCAGGTGCCTGACTATAGTGTTCATACTGCTGTCTGGACTGAGCCCCCGGTGTTGAGTCTCTGTGCAATGTCTTTGTCCTGCCTTTGAAGTGCTTTCCATAGACACATCTCTTCAGCTCTCCGTTCATTATCACACTCAGAAGCTGTTCCAATTTCCATTATCTTTTTGACTTTCCCTGGAGTCCCAAATCAATAGAGAGGAGCATTAGTTTGGGAATCTTCCATTCAGCTGTTTCAACGGAGACTATTTGATTGATTCTAATTCTAATTAAGAACATACATTGTTTTAGGCCCTTTGGCTATTTGCAAAAACTCTGTCAATCTGAAGATGCTGTAGCTACTCTCTAGGTAGTATTTAGCACAGGTAAGGTACCACGTCTCGCCTGAGACATGGGGTGTAGTGAATGTGCAGCAAAAGTCAGACCAACTTTGAAAGAAAGCAGCACCCATAATTTGCTCAACTCCCAAGACCAGAATTTCTCCGTCTTTTCTACAAGGAAGAGAAAATCTTTCACTGATCCCTAGGCATAGTTTACAGTTCTGGAGTTGACCAGTATCATATAAATTATTTCTTCCGATATTTTTGTAAATGAACAACAATCATTATATATTGTTTGGTGTACTGTATCTTTTAAATTCACATAAAAATATCATCTAAGTGAACCATGCCTATTTAAGATCCTTTTTGAAATTAAAGGAAACATTTTGTTTAGTTATTTGGTACTGTCAGTATGTCTAATAAGTTTGATATGTTTTAAATATTTCTAAAATGTAGTTTTCTATTTTAAAATGTACAGAATATATTTCATTTGTAAAATTAAATTTGCAGCATATGTCTTGCATGTATATTTAAATGAACAAGCATTTCCTGTTGTAGGACTACACCAGACATGGGACTGTAAGGTCTGTCTAGTGAATTTAGGATTTAGTCAGAGAAATGAGACATATAAAGAAGAACTGATTGTAGATGGTTGACGATTAGTAAAAAGATCAAGATCTCCTTTCGGTGTGTAGTACTCAGAGTTCTTAAAACATATCTCGGTTCTTTTGTTAAGGTCGGTTCTTGCTACAAAGCTCTGGCTGGCACTGAACTACTGATCTTCTTGCTTCAGCACTCTGACTGCTAGAAATGTAAGCAAGAATCATCACACCCAGGGTATTCATTTTCAGTGAAGAGTCAATGACAAGTCAAAAAGCTTGTCATAATTAGGGAAAGAATGTTTGAAGGGAGTAATAATTGGCTTAATGACAAGAGTTGATGCATTGGGTTCATTTCCATGCATCTTTTGTGACATAGTAACACACTCTATGTTTCCAACTACCCTCATAGCATGACGACTTCTATTAATCTGAGTTTCCAGAGGAAAAAAGTAAGGAGTAGAAGAACAAATCATTTTTCCAGGGTCACAGCATTTGTGCAATTGAGTTTTGACCCATGCAGTTTAAGCCAGGAGCATAATCATCACACAAACCTGGCTTCTGGGTTACTCAGAGGATAGACTGCTCTACACATGTTCAGGATCTTCACAGTCCTTCCTTTCCCACCTCTTGTTCTATTACTCTTCCTTTACTTTCTACTGAAGAATGAGGGAACTAGGAAAGGCAGTGAACATACAGTGCACTACATAGACCATGAAGAGGAAAGCCAGAAAGTCAGAATGTTCCTAAATTAACTCTGAAGAGCCAAGTAATGGGCACAGGTGAATTTGGTTGAGAAGAAAAATTCCCTAAGGTAAGTTGAGGTTGAATTGTGATGTTGAATGCAATGACATTTCTATATCTGTAGTGAAAGCAGAGTTAGGGATCCCCTCTCTAAATGAAATTACTCAAAAAGGTGGAAGATAAAAATACACAAATTACAGTCTTTAAAGTAATGCCTCCTCTAAGGTCTCAGTTTTGGTAACTGTGTCTTTTTTGTTTGTTCATTTGTTTAGCATAAGTGAGTCATAAATATGATTCATGTTTGGTCTTAGTAAATTTCAAAGTAATTAATGTGATCCAGACATTATTATAAACATTCTCCCTGCTCTGACTGAGTCTTCATGACAACTAAGAAACCCACAGGCCTCTGGTCTATAGATGAGGAAACCGAGTTGTGACTTACCTGGCCACTGCCACACTGACAAAGAGCTATGACTTGATGCCAGATCTTCTGGCTACAGGTCACATGCTCTCCACCATTGAGGTGAGGGCACCTGGCTCTGTTCTGGCATAGAGGAAGCCCTCAAGGAACATGAGTTTAATTGCTGGATTTCATGGATCTTTGGTGATCCTGTCTTCCATTACAGATTATGTTTTTAAAAAGTAGCCTAACTATTAAAGTCAAGTCAGAACTGAAAGAATGAAGCAGAAGAATCGCAGGAACTTACACAATACGACCAGTTCTTTCATAGCTCATAAATCAAGCCATTTTCCAAGTATGCCACTCCCATGGTCTTGTGAGAGTTCCAGAAAGCATCCATGCGGAATGTTTTGTTCTCTTCGATTTGATTAGTGCCTCTCACTCACCAGCTCTCGTCAATACCTTCTCACCTGAAATTTGCATCCTCCCTTCCCATTCACCAATAACTGCTGCCCCTCCTTTGTCTTCAAATAAGCAAGTACCTGTCCAGTGCAACTTGTACTAAATAAGCTGACTAACTAGTCAACAATGAGTTTATTTGGGATTATTGCAGAAGTAAGAGAAACTGTCTTCTCCTAAACTAAAACCAAAAATTACCAGAGTACTTGCTTAAATTAGAAGAGATTTTTCCTTATGCCCAGCACACCCATAAAATAAGAGCTCATCCTGAAGCTTTACAGGGGGCCTGAAAATTCTAATTCCTAGCCTTGATGGAGAAGCTGTACACATGCCACCAATGCTGAAACATGTATCACTGAAGTAGTTTGGAAAGGTAAAAGTCAAACTGAATCTCCTGTGACCATGGCCCTCTGCCATCAGACTATTATCCTGTAAGAATACAAATACTAGCATATGAGGAATACGTTTTTGCATCAATGAGGAGATAGTCATTTCATTCAGTAAAATCCATTTAAAATGTATCTTCTACTACTTGTGAAATGAATGAGGTCAAGTTTGGTATTAGTACTGCAGCTATTGAATAAGCTTCACAGAGATTTCCCCTGGGCGTTCACACAATGAAAAATGCCAGGGTTTCCGTGGTGAAATGATCCTGCTGACATTTCAAGTCACCAAAAGAAACATAGATTAAATTCCAGCCCTCTGGCTTTCTGGTGAATGCCTCATATATCAGGATAACCTTTTAATCTCAATCAGGTTAATCTTGCATATTTAGCAAGAAGCTATGAACTAAATGTAATAAAAAATATAGTCATTTATGCTCACATCTCCCTGGGAATGGGAAAAGAAGAGCCTTCATATGTGGATTGGGGGCAGGTGGGTATGAGAACATGAGAAATCAAATGGGAAAGGGACAGAGGAGGAGAGTATGGAAAGAAATGAGTGAAAAGGGGGGAATTTCTGGGTGAGCTAGAAACCTGGTGCAAGGGAAACTCCCGGGAATCATGCAGAATGATACCAGCTAAGACTCCAAGCCATAGAGCATACCTAGTCTGAACTGGCCATCTTTGGTGACTAGGCAAGTCTTCAAGTGGAGGGACTGGGACATCAATCCAGCCACATAGTATTCGACCTGCAGTCTGTCCTGTCTATAGGATGTGCTGGGTAAGGATGGCACAGAGATTGTGGGGTGGCATCCAGTGACTGTTCCAGACTCTGATCTATGCCTCAAGAGTGAGACCGCCCCTGACACTCCCTGGAGTGCCAGGACCCAGAGCCTGGATGGCCCAGAGACCTAGGATAGACTCGAACATGACTGGAGAAAAAAAATAAGTCAATTTAATGATGATTAACAGTATTCTGCTTAGACTCATAGATTGGTGCCCATGTTAATTGTCATCAGAGAGCCTTCATCTTATGGAAACAGCAGCAGAAATCCATAGCTAAGATTTAGGCCAAACACAAGGGATCTTGCAGAAGAGAGGAAGGAAGGATTGTACAGACCAGTTGGGTCAATAACATGACAAGAAAACCCACAGAATCAACTAACCTGGGTTTGTAGGAACTCGCGGAGACTGAATCAACAACCAGGGAGTCTGCATGGCACTGACTTAAGTTCTCTGCATATATGTGAGAGCTGTATCGGCCAGGCTTCTTGTGTGACTCCTCACAGTGGGACAAGGGGCTGTCTTTGACTTTTATGCTGGTTTTTGGGACCCTATTCCTCATGTTGGGTTAGTACAACCTTAATACAAGCAGGGGTGCTTAGCCTTACTACAACTTAATATAACATTTTTTAAATTATTTTATTATTTTTTAATTGTTTGTTTATAAAAATTTCCACTTCCTCCCCTCCTCCCCATACCATCCCATTCCCCCCCTCTCTCTCCCCCCACCCCAACTCCCTCTCCTCCTCCCTCTCCAGTCCTAAGAGCAGTCAGGGTTTTCTGCCCTATGGGAAGTTCAAGTTCCTCCCCCTCCCTCCAGGCCTAGGAAGGTAAGCATCCAAACAGATTAGGATCCCAAACAGCCAGTACATGCAGACAAAACAAGACCCAGTGCCATTGTCAATGGCTTTTCAGTCAGCCCACATGTCAGCCACATTCAGAGAATCCGGTTTGATCACATGCTCGTTCAGTCCCAGCCCAGCTGGCCTTGGTGAGCTCTCATTCGATCAGTCCCCTTGTATCAGTGGGTGAACGCACCCCTCGCGGTCCTGATTTCCTTTTTCATGTTCTCCCTCCTTCTGCTCCTCATTTGGACCTTGGTGGGCT